GTGCTGTTAGTCGAATTCCTCGTGTCGGTTCTCCTAGATAGCGTGCTTTCCTAGCGGTTTCCAGAAAACTCGAAGTTGGTGTTATGTGTAAGATTGTTAAAATAAGTAATTAACTACCTCTTTAGAGCTACTTTATAAGAAGTTATAATATTTCTTAAAAAAAAAGCTAGACCCTCTCTATCTGCTAGTTTAAAAACGTTTATTTCACTAATAATTATATTACTATCTAGAGTATGTTATAATAGGTAAATATCTCTAAATCTATATTGTTATAAGGATAAGAACTTTAGGTTCAACAAATCTTTTTTCTACTACTTACTAGTAGATATAGGTGTATAAAATCTTAAAGATATCATTATATATTAATTATTAACTTATAATATTTCATTTAAAATTTCAAAATAATGTATCATTTTTTTTACGAAAGATATATAGTTTTAGAATGGAAAAAATGATGCTTTTATATAGTTTTATAAAATAGAAACTTTTATAATACACTACTTTTTAACTAGGATGAGAATCCTCTTAAAAGGATGTAGAGAACATCATATTTCCTATAACACAATATAGAAAGTCTAGTTTAGCTAGATACTAGTACAGAAATAGTCTCACGTAATCTGTTATCAGTTGCAACCAAAGGTGCCGATCCATTCCTCCGTACCCTCTTCCGAGGACTTTTTAAGTATGGCAAAGCTACTAGCCGATATTATCTAAGGCCTTTTCTTCAATGTGGCATACAACCCTGTCTGGAAGAAAAACCATGAGTTTTCTACTTGATACCGCTCCTGATCTACCACACGAAGCTATTTTCCAATCAGATTAGACGGGTGCTGTCACCACAACAAGAAACGATGAACACTTACATCGTAGTTGAGGACCAGAAACGCAATGAGCTTCTTGATTTCAAGAAGGCCGACATAACGACCTAAACAGACACGACGTCCTGAACCAAACTGTGGGCGAAGATGTCAGCCGTGGAAAGCCTGCTGTGGCTCAAAGCTACACGAAACTTACTGTAAGAATTCCTTGCTCCAACTTCTTTTTGTGTGCCTCGTCATTTTCTGTCCACCGCTCTGGTCGCCAGAACTCAGCGTCTTCACCAAACCACTCTTTGTTCCGGTTGACTACGTATGGGCTTCCACCTACGATCGTGCCTTCTGGTAGAAAATGATCACGGATAGTGATACCTCCCTTTGGCACGACGCGCTCGAACGGCAGGCAGAAAGGAGGGTGTATACGCACGCCTTCTAACACGCACGCATCCAAATACGGTAGTGTTCTTACTTCGCTCCATTTAGGGAGCGGTCTGGATAGCCCTGCCGTTAGAAGCTCATGGTACAGCTTTTTCATCGTCTGAGGGTATGACATGAGATGAAACAGGGTTGTGATCATGAGACTCGCTACTGAGTCAGAGCCAGCAATAACGTTTGAAAATGTCCAGGCAACAGGGGCCCTTTGAAGATGTCAGTATAGCAGCTTTCCAAAGGGAGCTGATAGAAAGTTTGGGCAAGGTTGAGGTTTGCCTACCATGGTGGTACCGAAGGATCCTTCTCCACGATCTCAATATAGCGCGTAAGAAAGTCTTTGCCGCGGACGTTGTTGTCTTCGTCCGAGGTCTTTTTCACGGATTGTGCTAGTTCTTGTTTCTTCTCCGCAATTGCCTTCGAGACAAAGGTGATTATGCTCATGGAAGCCTGGAGCCCGAGCTTTCGCTGCAAAAAATCTCCGATACGGTTCTTACGCGAGAGCCGATCAAACCATGGAATCTGAGTGTACTGATATGAACCCAGTCAGTATTATGCAAGGCTTTTTTTTCGGGTAGCTCTCATCATTACCGGTGCTGAAATTCGCATGAATTCGACTATATTTTGCAATATCTTGCCAACATCCTTGCCAGCGTCTAGAAAGCCATATCGTTTCGAGAAGGTCATTGTGCCCATGGTATCGAAAGCAAAATACTTTACCCATTGGCCAAGATTGACGACAACGTCATTGTGTACAAACTTAGCATCAAGCTTTTCCCGCAAACATTCAAGGACTTCGTCGACACGAGGCTCTAAATAAGGCACATTGGCCAAAGTGAATAGAGATGCAATGGGCTGTTTGAGTGATTTATGAATCTCGTCACTAGTGGTATTAAATATAGCTTCAAGTTTACCACCATGAGGTGTGTATCCCTGTAGAGTTGGGTAAAAATCTGACTGTAAAAGCATCAGTTGGTGATACCACGGAATAATTTCTGATGGCCGAACGACACGATGTCGTTTTAACGTACCTTTGGGAATCCGGTGCGTGTAGTATATATCATTGGAAGAACTTCGGGGTTGCTGATAGAAACCATGTTTGGCCCGATACGTACAACGTCGCCATGCTTCGCATGTTCTGCTTGCAGATACAAGTGCGCACGCTTTGACTTAACCCATAGGATGCGCTGTAGATTCGTAACACGCGCAAAGAAGGGACCGGGAATATCACGCAAACGCCACCATGTCCGTCCTAGCTGTAGGAGTCCAAGCACTAACACCAAAAGTAGTACCAGAATCAGAAAGTTCATTTTCTGAAGCAAGGCCACCGCCAATTCCATGGCTGTCATGAATCGGGAAACACAAGAACAAAGTACAAATATGTGATGGACAAATAACGGAAGGATTGATTCACAATTGCGGGCAGGGACAAGGACTGCTACGTATATCTCACAGACTCAAAATTCGTGACATCATATATGGATAACTAGTTGTTGACATGGATGAAGTTCTTTGGAGTTTCTTACTGCGAGTGACACCCAGTGTCGGGAGTTGTGCGACAGCCAAGCGTTGACAAAGCACTAAGTTATTCACCCGGTGCTAATATCCCAGTTAGCGCGACCCCCGTCGCATCGAGTGACTTCTAATAGATTCGTTTTAGCCTCTAGTCTATCGATACAACTACCTAGAGTTGAGCCGAAGTCAAGCGCAACTAGTGCCCAACGTGCATCAATTGAATAGGTAAAGTCAATTTTCATGCCTAAGCTGGTAACTTCGCCGATATCGAGGGTTCGTAAAGGTATAGCCATCAATTTGACATCTGTATACATAGGCAGATCGCTCAGAAAGCCACTCACATTAAAGGCAGACCTATCTTAATTTTAGTGTTCGCACACACCACATCGATATCCACCATGACGTTCACAGGTCATACCCACCCCAAATACCGGATCGTTCTTTTCGGACCACAAAAAGCAGAGTGGACGCCCGGACGACTTTCAGACTTGACATCGGCTTTGTCGAAAGATATCCGTCTGTCTACCCTTCGAGAGTCTCTCAGAACGCTGCCTTCGTTATGGCCTCTATTACAGGGTATCTACGGCTCCGGTCATGAATTGGCAGCGGCGAGCAAGTTGCAAAACTTGAGCGACCTCGCCGCTGGTTCTGTGACTCTAGACCCTACAGAATTCTCGAACACCGAACTTGCACCCCTTACCGTGGTATCCCAGATAGCTCACTGGATACAAGTCCAGGGTGATGCGTTCGACCAATGTGAAGCTGCCCAGGGCTTTTGCATTGGCTTTTTATCTGCTGCGGCTATCTCCTCGTCCAACAACAAGGACACCTTTGATCGTTATGTTTCCAATGCCGTGCGACTTGCTGCATGCCTTGGCGTCATTGTCGACATAGAGAACATGTCACACGCGACTCCTGGGGATTCTGCTATCACTTTGTCTGTCCGATGTAAAACTCAGGCAGACAGAGCATATTTGGATCTGTGTTTGGGAAATATACCCAAGGTAATGTGGCTGTCCCCATATTCTGGTTTGGTTACTAACCCTGCAATCCAACAGGCATACGTGTCGTGCATCACAGACAAAAACGAGTTCACTGTTACTCTGCCACAAAGTAGGCAAGAAACACTGTCTTCGAGATTGAATGAGGCTGGCATCGCAGCCGTTACAGTTGGAATCTGCGGATCGTACCATCATGAAAAACATCGACAAGCGGCTAAGCAGTTGAGCGAGCTGTGTGCAAGCCATGCAGACCTGCAATTGCCTGATGCAAAACACCTTCGCTTACCCCTCAGATCAACTGCTAGCACCGAGTGCATTCTCGCTGGGGCTCTTCACGATGTTGCCATTCAGCTTATTCTTTGCGAACATGTTCAGTGGTTCCAAACCATCAAGAACACAGTTGGCGATCATGGCTTGGACCAGGTCCAGCTGATGAGCTTCGGCAATACACCATGCATCCCTCGTTCGTTGTCCCATAAAAGTCTAGAGAGGCAGCCTTATCATACTTGTGAAGAAGATGGCGAGGCAGAAGAAATTGCGATCATCGGAATGGCGTGTCGCTTTCCTCAATCCGACGATCTGGACGAGTTTTGGCAGCTACTCCGTGATGGGAAGACTGCGATTGGTTCAATGCCATTAGACCGCTTCGATCCAGCAAGGCTGACACGCGAACCGAAATTGGCTACATTTTGGGGCAACTTCCTGGACAACCCTGATGCTTTCGACCACAACTTCTTTGGCATTTCCGGTCGCGAGGCCAAATCAATGGACCCGCAACAACGCCTCGCACTGCAGGTCGCATACCAGGCGATGGAGTCAGCCGGGTACTGCGGCAAGCAAATGCCTACAGATGTAGGTTGTTATCTAGGTGTCGGCAGCGTTGACTATGATGCCAACGTTGCGTCGAGAGATGCCAATTCCTTTGCAGCTACTGGCACACTTCGCGCATTCATAAGCGGTCGTATCAGTCATTTCTTTGGTTGGGAAGGCCCCTCTCTAACCATTGACACGGCCTGTTCATCGTCCGCTGTCGCTATTCATACTGCACGCAAAGCTCTCCTCAGCGGCGAGTGCTCTGTGGCTATTGCTGGGGGTGTAAATGTCATTACCAGTCCTACAATGCATCAGAATCTCGCCGCTGCCTCGTTTCTCAACACAAAAGGGCATTCAAGAGCCTTCGACGACGACGCCTCCGGCTATTGTAGGGGTGAAGGTTCTGGGATTGTCGTATTAAAGCCGCTCTCCAAAGCATTAGCAGACAATGATCGGGTGCTTGCGGTTCTCTCCTCTTCAGCTGTTAATCAAAATTCCAACTGCACATCAATCACAGTCCCGGACAGCAAGTCGCAAAGATCTTTGTATCAGCGTGTACTTGAGGAAGCCAAGATTCAACCAGAAGAGGTAACGTATGTGGAGGCACATGGTACGGGTGAGTAAAACATGAAGACACTAATATAAAAATGAATGAGGAAGTGACTAAGAACCTCACTAGGTACCCAAGTCGGTGATCCAATCGAATTTGAGAGTATTCGAACTATATTCATGCAACAACCTCGTAGCGAGGGGGTCTTTGTGGGATCCGTCAAAGACAACATTGGCCATGCTGAAGCTGCTTCTGGATCGGCGGGTGTCATCAAAGTTCTTCTCATGATGCAACACAAAATGATCCCAAAGCAGGCTAACTTCAAATCGATCAATCGGAGAATCCGGCTCTGCGAGGGCATTTCAGTGCCTACGACCACAATGTCCTGGACGGCACCGAGACGAATTGCGCTAGTTAATAATTACGGAGCAGCCGGTAGCAATGCGGCTCTTCTCATTCGTGAGTATCAGCCAGTGCGCACTGACTATACAGAGTCACGCTCTACGACCTATCCCGTCCTATTCTCAGCAAAGTCAGATATTTCCCTCAACGCCTTCAAAGAGAAGCTGAAACAGTACTTGGCTGGACAAGACGTCCCATTAGGCTCTCTAGCCTTCAATCTTTCAATGGCAAACAACTCCTCGTTGGAGCGAAGAATGGGTTTCTGCGGGAATGATCGTAGAAGTGCGCTGTTGGCCATTGATGAGGCGCATTCAAAAAACATCGCAAAATCACCCGTGGTTCTTTGCTTTGGCGGACAAAACGGAAACTCTGTATCTGTCTCTAGACAGCTTTACGACAACTGTGATCTTTTTAAGACCCACCTAGTAAGTCAACAGTAGCACCGTCTACCCTTCGTTGCAAGCCGTAAACCTAACATGATGTTTTTAGGACAAATGCGACAACTTATGCCAGAACATGTTCGGTCTCAGCATTTTCCCCGATATATTCCAGGGCAATGCTACAGAAGATACCGTATTGCTTCACTGCATGTTGCTCTCTCTCCAGATTGCCTGCGGTCAAAGCTGGATCGACAGCGGCCTCGAAGTTGATACTATGATTGGTCACAGTTTCGGTCAGTTAACTGCCTTGTGCCTTTCTGGATCCATAAGTCTTGAAGATACTTTTCGACTCGTTGCTGGACGAGCCCGTCTTGTACGAGATAATTGGAGCTCTGAACGCGGATCTATGCTGGCTGTCGAATGCGACCATGATGATCTCAACAATATCATCGAGAAGATCAACTCACAAAGCAAAAACCGGGTGGAAGTTGCCTGCTATAATGGACCCCGCAGTTTCATTCTCGCAGGCGACGCCGAGTCAATCTCTCGTGCCAACATGGAGTGCAAGGGTTTCAAAACCATGACCCTACCAAACGACCATGCTTACCATTCTCATCTTACCGATAATATCCTACAAGACTTGTATAAGTTGGCTGAGATCATCCATATTCGACACCCCCAGATTCGGGTTGAAACATGCACTTCTGGAAGTAGTTGGTCCGAATTTGGCCCTGGGAACATCGTTCAACACACGCGACAACCTGTCTACTTCAACGAAGCGATCAACCGAATTACTTCACGCCTGCCTTCAGCCGTTTGGCTTGAGGCCGGTTCGGCTACGCCTGTTATTTCCATGATCCAGCGGATTACCAACAAGCCCAGTCGATGTGATATGTTCGTCTCCATGCAGCTTGGAAATACAGCTGATTCAACAGCCAACTTAGCAAATGCAACGTGTAAGCTGTGGAATGCGGGCCAAGATGTCCAACACTGGCTTTTCCATCGCTCTTCCAGCTACCGCTATCGAAACATAAACCTGCCTCCTTACCAATTTGAGAAGTCATCGCATTGGTTGCCTTTGGAACCGGCTCCTCTTGCGAATGGCTTGGGGTTTAAAACGACTACAACTCTTGTCGAATTAGTGAACACCACTGGAACAAAGTCCGGGGAGCATGTCTTCGTTGTTAACACTCAAAGTACCATGTTTCAGCTTGCTGCTCGAGGTCATGCTGTTACCAGCCAGAGTCTTTGCCCTGCTTCCATGTATATGGAGATGGTTGCTCAGTCTGCCGATATCATCTCAAAGCGATCTGATACCACCAGCCACTTTCCTCATCTGCAGAAACTTTCACTATCAGCCCCGCTTGGGTTAGGTGACAGCTTGGCTACTATAATCCATTTGCACAAGACGAGAAATGAGGACACGTGGGATTTCACGATCAGCAGCCAAGAATCTGTTGAATCTCGCAAGGGCCAAACTTTACACGCTAGCGGAACCTTCCACTGGCAGAAGGTCAATGATCCTGATACTGAGAGGCGCATTCAGCTTCTAAGCCGGCTTGGAAAACACCAGGTCAAAGAGTCTTCCTATATCAGTGGCGTTAGTGGCACCATGGTATACGATTGCTTTAACGAAGTTGTTGATTACGCAGACTACTACCGAGGAGTTCACAATGTGTCAGCATATGGATGCAATGCTACCGGCCTAGTCAAGGTGCCACTTGAACAACCCGCATCACTAAGTGCTGGTATCTGTGACCCAATTATACTGGACAATTTCCTCCAAGTTTCGGGGATTCACTGCAACACGCTGTCCAACAGAGATAAGTCCACAGTGCTCATGTGCACATCCATTGATGAAATCATCTTCTCACCAGCATCTTTCTCTGCCAAGGGTAATTCCAGGGAGTGGACTGTCTACACTCATTTCGAGGAACACAACTCGAATACTCGGACAAACGACCTCTTTGTGTATGATAATAGGTCTGGATGTATGGTTGTAGCCATAATTGGTGCCAACTTTCACGCCGTCGCCATGAAGTCACTCATAAGAACTCTCACCAGACTTAACAAAACGACCGGGACGACCGCCAAAGCACTCACTGGGAAAATAGTAACACCTACGTCTTCCAGTGACGTAGATGAGGCAAACGATTCTGGATATTCTTCAGAGCCTCTGGGTGAGGAGAGCAAGCCTGGAAGTTCCGAAGCAGACGTTGTCAGCTCTCTCACATCAAAACTCGACCAGATTTCTTCCAAAACTCACAAATTTTCCGACACCTTGACCAAAGTACGAACGATGTTTAGCCAGATTATCGAAATCCCAGTCGAAAGCATTACACCCACAACAACTTTGGATGCTCTCGGCGTCGACTCACTTCTTGTGACCGAAGTACTGGCAGACCTCTCGTCACTCTTTGGAACGCCAATATCCCAGCAAGAATTCTTTGAATGTTCTGATGTGCTTGCTGTCGCGAATTTGGTTGGTAATATCAATGGCACAATCGAAAAAGTTGACCCGGCAGAGGAGGTTGCCAGTGACTATGCGCCGCGCAAAAGCTTGCCTCTGGATGGTATCAATCTTGAAATGTGCCACCGGGAAAGCCCAGCTGGTATAGCTGAGAAGTGCCAAGGAGCTGCAGAGGGAGTAAACCTTGCTTCGACCGCTCAAGCATCCTTCAATGAATGCTCAGTTTCATATGATGAGCATTCAGATGCAACCAGGTTTACCGGCTTCTATGAGAACGTTTTCCCCGTCCAATCCGAACTGGTTGTAGTCTACGTTCTCGAGGCCTTTGCCAAATTAGGTTGCGATCTACGTCAACTCGCCCCTAATGAGATTCTACCGACTTTCGAATATCAGTCGAGACATACCAAACTTGTGAGCCAGTTGCACAATATATTGGTTGATGCAAAACTGGTAACCGGTACCGGTAATGGCGAATACTCACGCAGTGAAAAGCCTCTGCCAACTTCTTCGCCAACTGAGTTGACCGAGTCAATAATTCAGAACTTTCCTCAGCACACTTCCGAAATGAAGCTTCTTCACACGACGGCTCACAAGCTGGCCGATTGCCTGACTGGGGTAGAAAATCCAATCGCTCTAATCTTCCAAAATGCCGAGGCGCGCGCTCTGCTAGGAGATGTTTATACGAACGCACCGATGTTCAAAACAGGAACGCTGCAGTTGACAGAATATCTGACCTCTGTTCTCGTCAAAATGGAGGGCAAGAGGAAGCTGAGAATCCTTGAGCTTGGCGCTGGAACTGGCGGCACCACCAAGACCGTTGTCGAAACTTTGGCCAAGCACGGGGCTAGTTTCACTTACACGTTTACCGACCTCTCCCCTTCGCTAGTGACGCAAGCTAGCCGTAAGTTCTCTCAATGGCCTTTCATGGAATTTATGGTTGTAGACATCGAGAAGGAACCTCGGCCAGAATTTCTTGGCACATACGACATCGTGTTATCCACTAATTGCATTCATGCTACCAAGGATCTTGTAGCATCTACAACCCACATTCGTAAAATGCTGAAACCGGACGGTTTGCTATGCCTTGTAGAGCTGACAAGAAATCTGTACTGGTTTGACCTCGTATTTGGTCTCCTTGAAGGTTGGTGGCTGTTTACAGACGGTCGGCAACACGCTCTCGCTACAGAACAACGATGGCAGCAGGACCTAAACACCGCTGGTTTTAGATGGGTCGATTGGAGTCGGAGCCCAGGAAAGGAGTCTGACCTATTGCGAGTCATCACAGCATCCGCCATGCAGCCTTCCCTATTGGATACCAGCAAAAATTTGACACTTCGTCAAACGTTTCCATTCAAAGAGGTTGATGGTTTACAGCTTTTTGCTGATCTTTACTACCCCAACAAACAAATTGATGCCAGGCGAAAACTCCCTGTAGGTAAGTTATCCTTTTGAAAAAAATTCATATCTGCATAGGTGAACTAACATTCCGCATAAAGCCCTCATGATTCATGGCGGTGGCCACATCATGCTCTCAAGACATGATATTCAAAAAGAGCAGACGCAGATAATGCTAGAAAGTGGATTCCTCGTTATCAGCATCGACTACCGGCTCTGCCCAGAGGTCACTTTGACCGAAGGACCAATGGCTGACGCTGCTGATGCCCTCTATTGGATTAAAACCTCTCTTCCTGGTCTTCCACTGGCGCGGAAGGACATTGTTATTGATACCACCAATGTCGTGGTCGTAGGTTGGTCAACTGGTGGACACCTTGCAACAACGCTAAGCTGGTCTTCGATGGCTCGTGGGATTGATCCGCCTAACGCAATTTTGGCTTTCTACTGTCCTTTGGACTACGAGGATGACTTTTGGACACTACCAAACATCCCTCAAGGTGCTTCAGGAAGTCAAGTAGATGCTTATGATCTCGACAGTCGCATATGGGATGGGGGCGTATTCGACAGGCCAATCACCAAGTACAACATTTCGCCTTCCAAGAGAGCTTTGGGCGGCTGGATGGCGAAAATGGACCCGCGTAGTCGTCTCGCTTTACACATGAACTGCCAGGGACGCACGCTACATGTCTTACTCAACGGATTGGACAAACGGACGCAAAAAGAGCCAGACGCACCATCAAAGAGTCAAATTTTGTCCATTAGCCCCCTTGCTCAAATACGCGCAGGCAATTACACGACGCCCACTTTCATTATTCACCCTCGAAACGACGATTTGATCCCTTGGAAACAGGCTGAGCGAACTTGGCAAGCATTGAAAGACCGAAATGTTGATGCTGAGCTAAGAATCGTGGATGGAGTTCCACACTTGTTTGATTTGAAAGGTTTGGCTAGCATTGACAAGGACGCTAGAACAGCGGTTCTGGATGGGTATGACTTTCTGTGTCGGCATGTAGGGCTAACTCTATGTTCTCCAATGGCATCTTGAAGATTGCTATGTAACTTCCTAGTTCCTCTTGCAAATAGATTTCCTCGGAGTTATGGACATAGACTTCTTAAATTATCGGATTGTTTTTAGCGGGCATATAATGGGCATTTTTTTATGCTTAGTGGTAAAAATAACTTTGACATCCACTGAGGCAGGACCATAAGGTTCTAGGATTTTGTTTTAGAAATAGACTGAGGAGATGGATGAAGAGATTAGATGTGTATACTAGTACCATTATACGACAGTTACGATGCGGCATACAAAGGCTTTTATGCTATAGTGAAATATCTCCGCAAGAAGAATTATTTGAAGTTATCCTAAATGACAAGACGGAAAATTCGAATTGAGAAGCTATTGGATGGATTTCTACATAGATTCTCTCTATATCCCTGGTAATATAGGTGTCTCAAGACGCCTAAACTCAATCTTGTTTCCTGGATTCTTGTGTGATCTAGCGCCTGTCCCAATATTTGGATATTTCTCTTTGATTCCCATTGGCATTCGGATATCGTATTGCATTAATATATGGGCGGTAATGAGTTTGATCTCGTTTGCAGCAAAAAATCGTCCTGGGCTTTGTGCGTACATCCATTAGCTTGTCGTACAGAGAAGGTAGATCATGAACCACATGCGTCTCTGGAAATCAGTGTTGGAAGATGCTTACCAAGAATGGCGACCATAGCCAAATCCCATATTTTCCTTCACAACAGTCACGAATTGGTACTGCTCCTTGCTCTTATATCCTATCAGATCCTCCGATTTGTTCAATCGGAGGTCTAGGAATCGGTAAGGGTTGAAGCTATCTGGCTCCTGGTAAAGCTGAGGATCATTTACGAAGGCTGCGTATGGTGCCTCAATAGTGTAACCCTTTGGTATCACCGAGCCATCTTTCAGCGTGATTGGCTTAAGAACAACTCGGTTAAAACGAACTAATGCCAATAAGTAAGTAGATGACTTCCGCAACAAAAAGAAAACAAAATACTTACTCTTCCCAACGGCATTGTGTCTTTGCGACTCTCTGATAACCTGTCACTGGGTCAGCATATGTAATAATTTATTGGAAAACATCGAGCAATTCATCGTGCATTAAGCGAGCTCGCCGCTTTAAATTACCCATGATAAAGTGTATTCATGAAATCGCTTGCATCAAAATAATTGAAATGATAAGCTTACGCTATCAAGTAACTTCATGTTGAAGAGTGCATTTGTCGTGAAACTGCCTCCTTCCGCTTCGAGAACGTATCTGATCTCGTCGCGGATCTCACTCACTAGGTCTGGTCTAATGACTAGCTCGCACACTGTATCCATGAGAGCTGAAGTGGTTGTGTGTATTGCCGTCATACTGAGGGTTAACTGAGCATCCGCAAGCATCACATCGGTATACTTATGCTCATCGGCCTTCTTCATCATCCATTGCAGCAGATCGTCTGGCAGTTCACCGCCACTTTCCATGATAGCCCTTCGCTGTTGGATCACCGGGAGAAGAAACCCCTCGGCATTACGGCGATGTAATTCGATCTTCTTCAACTCTGGCGTGAAGTACTGGCCAAGGAAGCGTAAATAACGAGGCCATTTTTTGATCTGGGAGATAGCCCGGAATACATCGACTGTGTAACTGATACTCGACCGGACATACTCGTCACGTGAGCACAGGTCGGGGCCTAGAAATGTATTCCCTGAGGCGATGGCAACTACCTTCAACAGGTGTTGGTAGAGAATATGAGGGGTCCAGTCTTCACACGGACCAATGGTGTTCCTGACTGTTCTGTCCACTTCTTCGGCAAGTCTTGAGTTGAGACGACCTGATATCTGTTAGTCGTGAGCTGCGAGGTTTGTGCTGCGATTTTTTCTCACTGAGATTGGGTGTAAGATCTGCTCGGAGTACGTGAGCTAAAAATTTCAGGTCTGCAACATCGGTCATGCCGGTGTATCTTGTCTCTGTACTCTTGAAACGCAATTATCAATACACACTCTGTGATGTGTAGAGCCAAGAGATCCTCACCTCTCTAACTGCTTTAATCATACTCAGATGATCTTCTGGTAACCTGCGTAGCTCTTCCATTGCGCACAAAGGCACTACAATGCGTTCCCCTGATTCCCTATCAGTCCTACATGTCAATTTCGTTTCTCACTTAAATTGCTTGCTAACCGTCGGCAGTTTCAAGGCGATAGGGTTTATTCCTGAATAGATTCAGGCCTTTTTTATAGAGCTTTTCTGCTGATGAGAGGTAAAGCTGACGTCGTTGCTCTGCCGTACGGTACTCGGCAGCTAACAAGGGCAATTCATTCTTCCTGTTTTTGAACATGGAAAGCAGCCATACGATGAGCGCGATCGCAGAAGAGTATACAAGGGTATTTCGGTCTGTAAACAAAGACCTGACAATATTATGGTCCATGGCAATCGATTTGAAAAAGAGAATTTTAAGATTCGTGAGAGGGCTCAAAGATTCGCGCAGAGAAGTCCGATTGCAGCTCACTTGCAAGACCGCGGTCGAGTCTCCATAGGCTAATTGTAGTCTATTATAAGCCTATTCATGCTTATGAAACCGACCCGATGAAAATTATTCTGTAAAATAAACTAGAAGATCTTCATAAGCCTATCTACAGTCTAGAGGTAGACGCATAGGAGCTATCCTTACCTTTTGGTGACAATTGTATATAACTAATGGGTGCCCGTTACTTGGACAAAAAGAAGAATCAACGATGGATAATTTTTCCAGTTTCAAATATGGGACGGGGTTGTTAGTGCTGCCTACTAGTCTGAAAACAATCCCGGTTTTCTTGTAAGTAGTTGCTTTTTTACTCGGTGTCAAAACTCTTGATTTACCCGCCGCCCCATTCTGGATTGTGTTATTTGGCCCCAACTTCGAGTCTAATAATTGCGATACTGAGAATTATAGTGCATCTGGTTGCATTCATGAGTATATCGAGGTAAACATTTTAGTTAACATCTAAGCGAACTAGGTGTTTGCTTGAATTTGCTACCAATTTGTTGAGTTCCCTTTACCTAGATAATTCGTAATAGCGAATTGAATCATATGGAAGATGGATACATATTAAGATACTGTGTTTCTAGGGACAGCTTAAGTAGTCTCTATTCATTCCTGCCTTTGTCGTTATCTCTCTGCCTAGCACATATTCCCGGAGAAGTTCGGAAGTGAACATTTTCTCCTCGTATGCTCATTCGCTATTCTGAAATCTCAAGAAATAGTATCATGCCTTTTACCTACAAAACTGTTCTCCTTGTTGGAGCCACTTCTGGCATCGGCGCCGGAATGGCTGATAAGCTAATCATGGAGGGATCTAAGGTCATAGCTGTTGGCCGACGTCAGGATAGATTGGACGAATTTGTCAAGAAACATAACAGCCCAAAAGCTGCCTCGATTCAATTTGATATCGCGGATCACGAGGGTGTGGACTCATTTTTCTCAAAGTAAGCTAGATCTTCTTACGTTAAACCTTCACTCTTACTTATGCATAAGCTAGCAAAATAGCACTTGGTCTAGATTGAGCTGTTATGAGTATTTCGTTAATTAGACACTCACAGGGTGATAGAGGAACATCCCGACCTCGACTGTGTTTTCTTGAACGCTGGCATCCAAAGCCAGACGCGTTTGTCAAGACCGGCAGAATTCGACCTCGGAAAATTCCATCAGGAGATCAATGTGAATTTTACAAGCATTGTGAACTTAGCAGTCAAATTTCTGCCCCACCTTCAGGCAAAGTCAACGCCAACTAGTCTTATCATTACTGGGACGCATCTTGCTATTGTACCAGCAGTCACTTTGGCTGCGTACTCAGCCTCCAAGGCTGCTTTAACAGCGTTCGTGGACTGCTTACGCGAACAAAACCGCCACAAACCCACAAAGATCATTGAGATTTACCCTCCTGTAGTGCAAAGTAAGTCTCCATAACCTTCTTGGTTTGTGTCAAACACTTCGTCCTCGATACAGTTACACGTGATTTTTCTGTGTTTATTATCAGCGTACTGGCACGATCGCGGAACACTTCCTTGCATGGTTGACCAAAGAGTACTCCTAAGTGGTTTTCACTTAACCATCATAGTCTAATGCTAATGCAATGATTACTATAGGTGAATTACACGACTATGCCGGTCCTAGAGGTCGCACATACGGCCTTCCTCTAGGTGAGTTTACGGAGAGAGCGTATACGGAGCTGCTAAAGGGCGACGAACTTATCGTAATCGACTCGATTGCTATTGAGCCAAGAGAAACCTACATGGATCTTCTCGATCGCCGACGAAAGATCTTCACAAAGCTATCAAAAGCAATGCTTGGACATTTTGAACTATAACCCAAAGAGAATATTGGAGAAATCCTAATTGTTCATATTGTCAAAGGGTGCGATACTACCATGGCCTAGCCGTTACATTGATAACACTGCCTCAAGGAGACGGAACTTCAGTTTTCTATCCAATGACCTTGTACTCAATGTAAACCATATCAGATATCTACTAGACGAAAGTATCCTCAGCCTTGGGCCACGTGAGTATGCTCTGCCCTTGCTGTTCATTGGGTACCTTTGCTTCAACGATTTGGGTTTGTGGAACAGTGATGTACGTAAATATGGCAGGTTAAATAACATCCGGTTAAGATGGCTTCTTGCATGATGCTTGCGCATACTGGGCCCATCACTTTGATGTAGTTTTACGTGTACACGCCCCCAAATATGTTATATAAGCCCACCAGGATGCTGAACACAAATCTCTTCATGCAAGGACGCGATAACTAAAAATCTCTGGGGTGACAGTACTTAAGATGACAGGGATGCTCCACTTGGCAACGCGGTATAAGGCGTCTGCATGGCCCTAACCCCACAAGTTCCGCATGCCCACCACATTCCGACGGTAATTTGGGCGCCACCGCATTCCGACTCTGCACCCCAGTATGATTCGGACGCGCAGGAACAATCCATTTTGGAACAATAATATGAATCATCGTAAAGTGGAGGCATCGGCTCGTGCTAAGCACTGGGCGTACGTGTCCTATGTGAGACTGCTGTAGTCGAACTTGACTGCATCTCGGTGTCTCATGTTGACGAACAACCCCATCTCAACAATCCTCACCTATCATACCGTGCAAATCGCTACTGCAACATGTCTTCTCCTTCGCCGCTGCAGATTATCATCGTAGGTGGGGGGATTGCAGGCCTGGCGAGTGCCATTGCTCTCCGTGGTCCCAACCGCCATATTATCATTCTCGAACAATCTCGACTCTGCAATGAGATTGGAGCAACAATCTCCCTTCAACCAAACGCAACTCGAATATTGCAGCATAATTAGGGGATTAGTGATTTGATTGAAGGCGCTAGTGGGATGGTCGATCATGGCTTCCGCATATACACTACAGAAGGCAGGATGGTGACTGAGATCCCATTGCTTGCTAAGAAGCAGTACGGTGCGGACCGAATCATGTGGCACCGGCAAGATTTGCATTCGCATCTTCTGAAGGTTGCGAAAGATGAGACGAGGAATGGTCCGCCTGCAGTGGTGCGCACGGTCTCTCGCGTCGTTGACTGTAATTGCGACACCGGCACTATCACCTTGCAGAACGGTGACGTCCTCCAGGCAGATATTGTGGTCGGCGCCGACGGCATACATAGTGCCCTACGTTCACTTGTGTTGGGCAAAGAGGTCAAACCGATCCCCACGGGCTCCTCCTGCTACCGGCTCATGATGTCTTCGCGCGATATCAAACAGCAGGCCCCGGAATTTGCTGCAAATATCAATCCGGAGCAACCATATACTTCTATGATGATAGCCCACGACTGTCGCCTCATCATGGGTCCGGCGCGAAACGGCGAGTTGTACAGCATCGTTGGTTTGGTGCCAGACGAAAAGATGAACGAAGATCCCGACAAAGCACAGTCGTGGGTTACAGAAGGCGACTCTGAAAAGATGCTCGAGACCTTTAAAGACTTCCCAGAGTGGACTCGCACCGTCATGAAGCAAGCTCAAAGTATCGGGCTGTGGCAGCTTCGCGACCTCGACCCTCTCGAAACTTGGCATCGCGGACGTGTCATCCTGATCGGAGATGCCGCACACGCTATGCTACCAACTCAAGGTCAAGGCGCGAGCCAAGCAATCGAAGATGCAGAGGCCCTTGGTGCATTCTTTGCTGACTTGCATGGGCAGCCGACGAGTGATCAGGTTGCTATAAAGCTAAAAGAAGTGTTTGAGGCGAGGTATGAGCGTGCGAGTTTAATTCAAAAGTTTAGTCGCGATGCTGCGAAGCCGGCGATGGAAAAGGGCAGTCAAGAGATCAAAATGCGACCGGATGAGTTTATGGATTACAATTGTATGTATAAAGGGGCGGTAGAGTGGAGCAGAGTGCATGTTGTCAAGCTGTCTGCTTGAGTGCGATAAATAGAATCTTTTTACGCGAATATCAACACGTGAGCTCTGGTTCAATTAACCTTTCGTCTGATTTGGTATGCTCTGCAGAGATTGGACAAAGTTTACGGATCAATTATCTTCAAAATATGTGATGTTCTCGTAGAGAAGACAGCGAAATTATTAAAGCTATGCAGCTTATTCAGGTGATTACTTTGTAGTACGTCGCAAGTATGATGTATTTTGCCAAGCTATATATAAACTGCACGTACCAACTCAACGTCTAGGTGATTGCGGGTAGGCTCAATTATAAAGGAAGGCAGAATGCAGAATGCAGCACCTAGTTCTACACACAGTGATAACATGATTTAGTAAACTTTGACTCCAGCCAACTTTAATATCTGATCCGTACGCTCTGGTTTTTCCAATGGTTCACTTCTATTCTTTGGGCACATTTTGCCATCGCGAAGTGGCGGACCAGCCTTATGGATATTGCAATGGGGCCAATGTGTGGTACCCTGGAAGTTGTCAAATAGCTCAGCCTTCAACTCGATGTCTTCCTCTTTCGCAAATTTCCGTGGCGTCATGCAGATGTACTGCACGTGTCGAATGCGGTCGCCCTGAGGATGGGCTGCGTAGTGCATTGTTCTGCTGTCCCACAAAACCTGAATCACATGTTAGTGAGATTTATTTCAAATATGAATGATGATGTACTTACCATGTCACCGGGTTCCATATCAATCTTCTGTAATACGCAGCCCTTGCTTTCGAACCACTTCACGTCTTCCTCCTTGAAGATGAAAAGATCCCGAAAATCTTCCTCTGGTGGGGGTTTGTCCTCATGCTCATCTTGTTCTCGTTGCTCAGCGAAAAACTCGTCGAAGAGTTTTGAGCTTCCCTTCATCAAGATCAAACCGCCGTCCTTTGGGCCGTTGGGCTGATAGTTTAACAGCCCCTGAACACACTGCATTCCTTTGCGGTTCTCGTTCTGGTCGCAATGCGGCCATGGGCTCCAAGTCAGGTCCTTTTGTCGTGGTAGGGTAATGTTCATTCCATCGAAAGAACACAGAAGCTCGTCCGTTCCCCATAGTTTTGTAAAGATATCAACGACATTAGGCTCTGTGCGGGCCTCCCATACGAACTTCTCGTGAGTGCTGGCATAGGCAAAGTACATGCCGCCCTTGAAGCTGACAGGAAGATGTTCTGCCGTCCAGGTGGATTCGTCATTGGGGTCAAACCCAAGATCGAAGGATTGAAGCCATTCAAGTTGCTTTTTCTTGTAATAATCTGCCCGTTCTAGTGTTATAACATTCTTCACGACCGCGCAGCCATAGCGATGGAATTCGTCGCGCCAATCGCCGTAACTTTTGCCGTCATGTTGGATGAGATCAACACCTGAGTCTGCCTGAGGCTCTTCCGCGTGAGGTGCCATGATGAACGAATCAAGTGGTGAAGATGTGAAGTGATAGTTCTTTGTGTTGCTGTGGACAACAAAGTTTGATATGGTGACGAACTCTGCGAAATCTCCTTGAAATACTTAAACGCTTTCTGTAAATCGTCGCCTTAGCATCCATCGTGTGGGCATTCGGGGTGTTTACCCCGCAAACCGCCCACATTCCCGAGACGGAAGATGTGGGCGACTATGCAGAGAACAAGGCTAAACCTGATAAGTCACGGCCGAAGACGGGTGAGTCCTGGCCAGCAGCCGATGCCTGCCCTTTTGAGAACTCATCGGAGGGAAGAATGTATGCGCTATTTACACCTGTGCTCCAAACACATCATACATCCATTTGACACCTCCCCTAATTCCTCCAAATCTCCCTGAATTTTCTCCAATACCTTCAATTTTATTCTCCCATATAATTTACCACGTCAGGGCACCAACACCATGCCTACCCAAATGCCACAAGTTGCGTACAAACGCATATCCAAACCCGAAGTTGGTGTCAACAACTATCAAGGCTTCACACCTGGCAAAGTCGAAATTGTGAAGAAGGGCGCCCGACCTTATGGAGGCCGCGCCTTGGAGAGCGACATTCGGATAGATCACGACGTTGAGATCAAGGTCCGCGACGGTGTACGATTGTACGCAGACATCTATCGACCTGCCGATGCCAAAGACGATGAAAAGTTACCAGCTGTCGTTAGTTGGTCGTGTTACGGAAAGAAATATTCTGCGCTTCACATGCTACCAATGTGTGTATGGCAATGCTGCGTACCCAAAGAGGCCTTGAGCGGCTTGGAGAAGTTTGAAGGTCTGGATCCTGTAACTTGGTGCCCGCGCGGCTATGCAATTGTCTCTGTCGACTCTCGCGGCACAGGCGATTCCGATGGCTCAATCCCACTGATGGGCTCTCAAGACGCCGAAGACTGCTATGATGTTATTGAAGCGCTTGCAGCAATGCCGTGGAGCAATGGCAAGGTTGGAATGGCTGGAAACTCTGCACTTGCAATCATCCAATGGCACGTCGCTTCGCTCCGGCCACCCCACCTTGCCGCCATTGCACCCTGGGAAGGATCAGGAGATATCTATCGAGAGCAGTTCTGCCGCGGTGGCATATTCTCCATGTCCAACTTTGATCTTATTACGAAATTCATCATTAAAACCAACAACCCAAACGGTGGTATCGAGGACATGGCTGAAATGTACCGAAGATCCCCAGTTTCAAACGCCTACTGGGAAGACAAGCGACCGGACATGACCCGAATTCAGTGTCCGGTGTACATCAGTGGGAGCGACTTTAGTAGTATTCATACTATGGGTTCTGTGAGGGCGTGGCTCGAACTTCCTCACAACAACAAATGGATCCGATGGAGTTCATACCAAGAGTGGTACGAGCTGTACTGCGTCGAACACTCCCATGATGAGCTGCACAAGTACTTCGACTACTATCTCAAAGGGATTAGCAACGATTGGGAGACAACTCCAAAGGTTCGATGGTCAGCATTGCAATTTGGTGATCATGATGCGATCGACAACATTGAATACGCCGACTTTCCTATACCGGACACTCAGTACCGAGCTTTCCACCTTTCCAAATCAGGCCTCAGTGAGAAACCAGCCTCTGCGGAAGAAGTAGTTTCGTATAATTCCGAGGACTCCAAGTCAATCGTAGAGTTTACTCATACGTTTACCGAGAAGTCTCGACTGATTGGACTACCAAAAGCCATACTCTATATGTCCTGTCCTTCTCACGATGACATGAATGTATTCGTCATATTGCGGAAGCGAGACAAAAACGGCGATCTTCTGATGCATCTGTGCTTTCCTTTCTCTGCAGTACCAGAGGAGATCAAGAGCATTGCAGATATTCCAGAGAAGGATCGACAGAGTACCAATTTACACATGGGAAGTGTAGGTACTCTGCGTGCAAGCCACCGAAGTATCATCCCAGAAAAGTCAATCCACGAGCAATTCCCGTTCCACCCACATGATATCGAGGAGAAGGTCACACCCGGTGAGATAATCAAGCTCGAGATCGGAATCTGGTCGATGGGTGTAGACTTTGAAGAGGGACAATCAATCAGTGTTCAGGTTAGTTTCATCGTTTCTAGGCAATTCCAATCTGAGTACAGCGGCTAATGATTTTCGCAGGTCTCAGGAACATTCCCATCCATTGCAGAATACACTGCATTTTCAACTGAGCGACCAGAAAGTGAGAGGAATAGAGGAGATCATAGGGTTCATATCGGCCCTGATACTCCTAGCCGTGTGATTCTGCCTTTTGTCCCGTTGTAGCTGCACATGAATGCAATCACAACCTTTCATAATTAGATTCATATTGAGTAAATAATCTTTTCTCGAGCATAGTAGATATCTGCTTTGAACAATGGTTATACATTCAAGAAGTGCTGAGATGTTATTTGGACACCATCGAGTGCCCGAAGCAGCAAACTTGGCAGCATATATTAGGCGAAAGTAGGCCAAAAGCCTTGACAACCGGTTACTACTTTGGACATCATGATATTGTATATCGCTGCCTTTCTCCAAATTCATATCCTCCAGCATCATTGTCGTCTGCTATCGAACTAGCGGGGCTATGAGTTGACGGACATCATGGTTAAAACGCCACCGCCCACTCTCCGAACGCTAGTGCGGTTCTGGTGCCCTCAGCCCGCACTGCATGCTACGTGGATCCTACCCCGCAAAATTTCCCCATGGGGAACCAAATCCAAGATTCATGCCCAAAACCAAGAGATACGGGATGTGGGGTTTCATGTGGTTACGAATCATGAAGCTCCAGTTCCATGTTTGTCGGTCGCGGTGGGAACAGCTAAGGAAGACGACGGGCGGGGCTGAACATCACGGTTGATAGTCTGAAGGCTTTAATAAGAATCGAATGGCCAGCGATATCGATATCTCAAACAGGTGCGGACCTTTGAAGCCCTTCCAGCAGTGGACGAGCGGGTTATCTCACTATTCCTGTCCTTCGTTCTCCTCTTAATTCTCACCACATCAGTGTTTTCTTCCTCAGGATGGCTGCCATCACCAAAGATGCGAAAACTTTAGAGACAGCCGTGGAGAGATTCGAGTATCTCTCGAGCGATGAGGAGCAAAGCAAGGATGGAATTCGTCAAACCCAGGCAATGGGCACAGTGGCTATCACTGACGACAAGGACATCTACCTTGTACCCATACCAAGTGCTGATCCCAGGGGTAATTTCGTACAGCCCACTCCTTGCAAAGTTTACTAATCAGTCATCTAGATCCTCTCAATTTACCCAAGTGGAGAAAGATTGTCTTCATATCCCTTGTTTCAATCTGTAGGTCTCAATCATCCTCTGGATATTTTTCGTGTCTAATCGTCACAGTCTCAAGCCTCGGTCTTTCACTGGTGTCCGGGTTTGGCGGTCTTCTAGGATTCTATATTCCAGACTACGCTGCGCACGGTGCCGATTATGCTGATATCACTGCTCTGATGACTTACCCATCTATGTTTATGGGCGTAGGCTGTCTTACATGCATGCCTCTAGCTCTGGCAATTGGCAGACGACCTGTGTTCCTTGGATCGCTCGTCGTTCTCGTTCTCGGAGCTCTCCTAGCAGCCCAAGCAAAAGACTACAACTGGCATCTCGGTGCTCGAATGGTTCTTGGTTTCGCTGCTGGTCAAAGTGAAGCTTTGGTGCCTATGATGATCCAGGTAAGCATTACTGGGATTCTAAATCAATCCTGCACTCATTTCAGATTCCAGGTGATTCACTTTATGCACGAACGTAGTACGTTTCTCATGTGGCAGTCTGCCATACAAACAACCCTCTCTGCAGGTCTTGTCATTGCTGCATCTCCTCTAGCTGGAGCCATAGGTCCTGCGAATTGGTATAGATTAGGCGCGGGACTTTCAGCTGTAACTCTGATTGTTTCAATATTCCTCGTACCCGAGAGCCGATATGCTCGATCCCTTGTAGCCTATGGCCAATCGTCGAATTTTGACGGTGTAGAATCGGAACAAACCACAGCAAAACCTGTGAGGTTGTCAGAACGACCCGCCCTTGACACTACCAACTATGAGCCACGAACACTCCGCTCAGACATGCGATTTTTTGTCGGAGAATTCGATTGGGCGGAGGGCTGGTACGGCTTCATTGTACGTATAGATGACCATCCAGATGACGACAGTTCACATCACTGATTGCTAGACAGCACACCTTCCAAATCCTCTTGTTCCCTAACGTGCTATGGGCATTCTGTCTTAATGGCTTGACAATGTAAGTACTATCTTGTGTCGGCATCTTCTCGTACGTTGCTAACGCTCTGCCAGTGGTATTAACATCGCCATCGGAACGACTTACGGCACCATCGTTACCTCTTCGCCTTACAACTGGGGCAACGATGCAGCATCTTATGTTAATGCTGGACAAATAGTGGTTGCATTTGTTGCGCTTCCTCTCCTTGGCAATGGGTCCGATAAGGTCATTAGGTGGCGAGCAAAGCGTAATGGCGGTTTCCACGAGCCCGAGAACCGCCTCCTGGTTCTCTGGATTCCTGTTCTCGTCGGCGTCATCTCCGCTACACTCTATGGACAGGCAGGGCAGCACCCTGAGAAGTACCATTGGTTTGTTATCGTCTTCGCCAACGCAGGATACTACTTCTGCTTCGTCGGATCAAACATAGCTGCCATTACATACCTACTCGATTCTTACCCTGCACGGGCTGGACCTGTCCTTGTTGTCATTACAACTTTCCGTGGGTTTGTCTCTTTTGGCACCAGCTATGGTGTGGCCAAGTTTATCCACACTGCTGGGTACGATGGCTCTTTCGGCACATATGCTGGTCTCACAGCTCTGTTTGGTTTTCTTGGGATTCCAATCTTCATCTATGGCAAACGAATCAGAGCTTACACTGGTCAATGGGCAACCAAAAAGCGACATGGAGTTCCCTCTATGTCGCGTTAAATCAGTAGTAGGGGCATCGATCAGTGGAATAGTTATTGCTAGGCAGCGCCCAGAATTCTGACTTGAGAGGTCTTTCAGGACAAAGGAAATGCTCCGCATTGATTTTGGCTTTTACTCAACTTGTTTACATATTGAAAAAAGCCCTAATTTAGTTTTTCAGACTTCATGCAAAAGATTCAGCATTCGGTGAGTGATTTTCGGGTCAGGATTTGATGAACGTTTCCCTTGGCTATCAGTAAGTCTCGTTCTTGGGGAGTGATACATGTTATTAAACACTACGTGCAGTGTAATCTGGAACCAAAGGAATCAATATTAAATGGTAGAAAGGCTTCTAAGAAGGGAATTGAAACATTATGCAGCGACAGTTCATTCATCTTCTCAGTGAAACAAGGCATGTATGACTGTACCGTATCAGTCCAAAGAAACATCTGTGCCTTTCAATGCCATTTCAGCAGCTTGATCGTTGGGGGAAACGAAAACCAAGATACTACACGGCTTGTTCAAAAGCAATCATAGGGTATGAGGGGTGGAAGGAAGATCTTCGCCACAATTATGGCGTTTCTAGGCGTACCGGGCATCATTACTGCTGCCCCAGTTGTGAACCATCCGTGAGCTTGGCCTTCCATTAGTAAAAAAAATGAGATAAATGTCAAGTACTTCATTTTTATTCGTACTGGGGTGTGATCAATCTACGTAAGCTAAGCCTTGATGGATGGAATGCCAGTCAACTTGAATGTACGCTCATCAAGTACAGGCTTATTCACAGGTTCGAAGCGGTTGTGCGGGTCATCTTCTCCATCACGTTTTGCCACGTTCGAGCCAGTGTGTCTAGCGTTTGGCCAATGTGTAGTGCCAACATAACGCTTATAGGCGTCCTTCTTGCGGATAAGGTCCTCTTGAGTTGCGTGTGATGCAGGCATATAGCAGGTGTATATAGCAAATCTGGGCTGGGTTGTCTTCGAACCGAGATTGTAGTGAGGGGTGCGAGAATCCCTTATCAATAGTAAACACCTTGGTAGAGTACCAAAACGGAGTGGAGAAGACTTACCAAAGCAGTAAATCGCCAGGCTCAGCGCACACTTTGACCCATTTTAGGCCCTTGTTTTCCAGCCATTTCATACCATTCTCTGTGAAGCCGTACCACTCAGGAGTCCATGCTGGGATACGTGGTTCATCAGCCATGTCTTTGTGAAACTCGTCAGACAAAAGGTGGCCACCAGGGCACACTATGAGGCCGCCGTCATCGGGACCATTGGGCAAAAGGTTGACAAGACCTTGCATGCACCTGAAACCAGGCTTTGCGGGATCTTGGTCTTGATGAGGCCATGGCTTGTTGGGGGCAATGTCTGTACGGCTAGACTCTTGATCAACATGTGCGTTTGGGTCTTGAGACGAAGAACTGACTTGGGGAATGTAAAGTTGATGGCATCAAATGAGACGATGAGATCTTTATCGTCGTAGATTTTCTCAAAGGCCCCTACGACACCGGGCTCCCCGCGAACGCCCCAAGCAAAGTCTTCGTGGGTTACAGCATAGTTGAGACACATGCCCTTCTCGTTGACGGTGGGCAATCGGTCCCTGTGAACTGTAGAAAGGTCGTTCCTGTCAAACCCCAGGCCGCTATTTAATGATATTAGTCACGTATAAAATCACTAGGATACCATCATGACTTACAAGCCTTCCAACCATGCGTACATACTGTCGGCATAAGCGTCAGCCCGGTCCCTTGGGATGGCGCCTTTTACAACGGCATAGCCATCTCTGGCAAGGTCATCTCTCCAGTCGCCATAGTTTGTTTCCGCGCCATCAATCTTCATGTGCCCTCCCCCGACAGCCTTCAGCGTCACCTGGGGGACTTGTGTAGTGGTTTGGATCATACTGAGCAAGCTTTTCTGGAATGTAGAATAATTTCGTATTGCAAATGGAGGTTCTTGGTTGAAGCATTCGACACCAAATTGATATAGCGGGTATCCACTAACGTCAAAGTATAGCGAGTGGCCGACAGACACACCAACTTTTAAGCAGAAATCTTTCATCAAAACTCGTCAATTTTCTATCAGATATAGGGGTAACACGTCGCGAGAAACCGATTTACGCCACCTCTAATGTGTGCAGCCCTCTCGTTGAGGTGCTAGAGGGGGTATTGTCGGTATTCTTGCGACGTGTTCGAAATGCGAAAATCTTCGAGAACGCACAGACCGCCCCGATGACTAATAGGGAGACTACCAAACGAAACTAAAAACAATTAAAAACACCAAATAAAACAACAAAAATCAAAAATCCTATATCTAAACGCCGAGACAGCCTGATCCCGCTGTGGCACCATATCCAACCGCCAGGACAGTCTTTGCCTACTGTGGCACAAAATTCAAAAACGCTATAACAGTTTTCTGGTCTGTAATAGCAAAATAAGTCGAAACGCCGAGACAGTCTTCGCCTACTGTGGCACCAAATCCAAACGCTGATACAGAGACTGGTTACCTCTGTAGAAGCACCAAGTCGAAACGCCAAGACAGCTGCTACTCGCTGGGCACTAAGTCGAAACGAGAGAG